AGATACTTCCCTGTTTTTGAGAAGGTATGTGGCAAAGAGGTTGTAGCTCAATTGATGCTGCTACCTTGATCCTCCATCCTGAAAGCACACCAATTTTTTTTAAGAAACCAGAAGAGAAAGTACCACTGGAATATAAATGCTCTGTTTTTGGTGGTGCTGGGAGTAATGTGGAGCCATGACACTTCAGAGTGGACAGAAGGCACTTCAATCTGGGAGAGGTGTAAAGCTGCAAAACTCCATCAAACCCTGAGGTTCCCAAATGTCCACGTTTCAGTCTGTGTGTTGTTTCAGAGGGAAGGCACTACAGCATCTGCTTTGACAACAAGTTTTCTCCTGACATGCTGATGCCCCCCTACCATACATGCTATGTAAAAGCATTACAGTTCCTTTTGTATCTCATAAAGCTTAGCCTTCAATGCAGCAACAGCAGCCAAGGGAAGATGAGCTCAACTGAGTTTCCAGACAGAAATGTAGGAGAGAAAGAGCTGATAGATAATGCCTTGGATGGCAGTGCCATCAGGTCATTGTTTGTACTACAGGAGTTTGAACTGCATTTCCTTCTTTCACAGACAACTCCATGCAATGTGTGACCCTGCTTTGAAGATATCATATTAAGTAACAGAGAGGAAAGACATCACCTCCTTCTGGTTCTCTCTTTTTAGGTTTTGAAAGACCATGGAAAAGATTTTCTTGTCGGCAACCAGCTGAGCAGGGCAGATGTTCAATTGCTGGAAGTCATTTTAATGGCAGAGGAGTACAAAGCTGATATACTTGCCAAATTTCCTCGCTTGCAGGTAAATGAATGGGCAGTTTGAATGGAAAATAAATGGGAAAGGACCACTGATTTAAACTGGCTGAGAAATATGGGAGAATGGGAGGGTCAGAAGTGACATGCAGAATAATCAGATACCCTAAGGCCTTCTAGCTGGCCTCACATACTCATTGTTATTGCCACATTCTGTCACGACATTCCCAAAAGCCCAAGAGGGGGAAGCATATAGTTTCTTCTGCAGCATCAAGCCGTGATGTGACTTTAAGGCATGGATGCCATTGAAATGTCTGACAGTTACAATGATTCTTAAGCATGGTCTTGTTTTGTTTTTTTTTTTGGTAGAGCTTCAAAGCAAGAATAAGCAATATCCCAACAATAAAGAAATTCCTGCAGCCTGGCAGCCAGAGGAAACCACTACCAGATAAGCATGATGTGGACAAAGTGATGAAAATTTTCTACTCCTGAGCAGCACACTAAAGCCACAGGAATTCAGTTTCATTGTATTTGCAGATTGTAGCAGGGTGAACTGAATGAAAAGAGTAGCACTGTCAAATTAATGGAAAGAGTGGAAAAATTTTTTTGATATCTCTTCCTTAGCTACAGGACTGGTTTTAGCCTATTGCAGACACTTCCAGGTAAAGCTACAAGAGCCTACTAGCAAAGGAAATAGTTCAGTGATGAGGATGCATATTGGACAACACAGGGTGCCTGAAATAACTAAAGAGAATACCTGAAATAAAGTTTTACTACTGACACTCAAAACCTGGCTGTCTTGGATGTCTTGCTGCTACTCCTATGCTAAGATCTGTCTGGTTCAGTTTCTCTGTCATTCCCAAGAATTGTTGCAAAATTAGGAGAGATTATTGCAAACAGTAGGTCATGTATTTTTACTGAGCGATGCCAGGAAGAGCCTGCAGGTTCTGGTTACGTCAAGAGGAAAGGTTTGGATTTAGCTTTCCACCGAGCTTCACTTGGAAAATACTTGGACCAGAGGTCCTACTGCAGCTCTGTTTTGTCTCTAGACACGTGAACTCTTGTACTGCGGCTTCACCAATGTTTCGTTTATCAGAAGGCCTGTTGTCGCAGCTAAAAGCACTTTGCAGACTCTGAGAAACAAATGCTTGTCACCAGTTTAAATCTTCTTGAGGAAGGAGGAATCAGGAGGGTGTCAGGTGCTAGTGAGACCTTGGAACACAGGAATCCATATTGACTTAGATCACTTTATATTAAACCAACTTTTATACACGTTGTACTAGACTTGTTTAATCACTTAAATCCAGCTCCACTACTGAGGTTAGCAAGATTGTTGAACTTTGATAAACATGCACATTTATGTAGTGAAATGTGTTCCTGCCCAGCGCAGTGGGGTTGGAACTAGATGATCTTTAAGGTCCCTTCTAACCCAAACCATTCTATGATTCTGTGATATAATCTGAACACCAAATAAACCAAGTTTGTAAATGAAAGAGCCACTGCCCTAAATCCAGCTACAACTAGACACTGGCAGTTTTCAGCTGGGTAAACTCAGGGCACTGTAGCTCTTGCTAACAGTTTCTTCATAAGGAATGCCATGTAGCTGGTACCGGATTTTGTCATCAAGAAAGGAAATAAACCCATGTTGTTCAGCAGCAGACCATGCATTAAAGAGAGTTGTTGCACAAACTGCTTCCCTCCCACCTCACTGAAGCGTTCAGACAACATTTGCAGCAACTGCACAGGAAGGATCTGAAGGAGAAAGCGCCGCCTATTGTAACAATCATTTTTTAATGTGACACATTGCAGTTTATACAACCTCCCTGTGTAACATAAGAAGACGCAGTCATGTTCATGGAAATGCAGCAAAATGTTGCATGTATACATTGGCCTTGACTGCAGGTAATGGCTACATCAATATTAACCATAAAGATTAGATAGGCAGGATGGTGCATGGGAGTTCATTCTGTACTCACTTTTTGAAATCAATAGAGTTCATAGGAACAACGAGTTTGTCTTTACAAAGAAGCTGTGAGTCTGCTGGTAGTTAATATTAGCACTGAGAGATAAAAGAAAGAATGGGAAAAATTTCTCTAATTGATGAATCGAAAAAATATATTCACTTTTATAAGCACGCTGTGCTTTGCTGATAAATTAAATTGGATATTGAAAGATGAAAGAAACAATGGGGCAAAAACATTAATTCCCTAAGACTTAAAAATTGAAAGGGACGGTTATACATTAGAGGAGAATCTTAGGTATCAGGCATTCCAAGAATTCTGTACCTCTCAAGTACCTCAGCCAATGGGGAAAGAGAGTGGGAAATTTTGCCAGGAAATTAGGATAAAAAGGGAGGCTGCATCCTCTAAAAGTTTGAGACAGCCCAGGGGAATGCCCCATGGCCTCTTCTTTTATTCTAATATAGTAAAAGGACTCCTCTGTCTCCTTTTTGGACATAAACCTACAGTGTTTGTGGCTTAATTTTCCTGACAATTTTGGGGGCTCGTCCAGGATGTTTCCACCATCTGGGGCGGCAGGCGGCGAGTGGAGCTGAAGGCGCCTCACCCGGTTTCAGTGATGAGCTCCCCTTGGTGCCGGCTGGCACCGGTTCCCAAGACTGTCCAGGAGACAGATGAGATGCAGACCAGGGGGGTCCGTGAAGAGTCCGCAGGGAAGGACCACTGAAAATCTCACCGGTGAGTAAAATGGCATCTTCGGGGAGCAACCCTGGGAGGGCACCCACAGAGGGTAGCACAGGTAAAACAGGGCACCCATGGAGGGTTGGAAGTGTAAAGCTGGGAAGGGGCCCTGGCAAAAGAGGTGATGATCCCATAATACCCCCGGAGAGTCCCTTGGGGAGAATGCTGAGGTCTTGGGACAAATTATGCATTCACCCAGAGGTAACTATGGAGATGATGGTAAAATATTGTTATTTTGTGTGGCCGGAGTATAAGTTGCCAAAGGGCCTTATATGACCACCTTATGGAACAGATAAAATTTGTTTGTGTTGAATTTTGTGGAGGTATTTAGAGGAGAATTGGAAAGGATGAATTGAAAAGGAATGTGGACTAATATGGGTTAGACAAACAACAGAAGCAATCTATGTGTTAAGAAAAAAAGGAGAAGAGGAAAAAGGGGAGGAAGAGGAAAATGGTGAGGAATGGGATGTTTTATCAGCACCTTCCCCCATCTTGTCCTCCAGTGTTGCCAGCTGACCCAGGGCCAGCTGCTGGTCCCCTGTATCCTCAGCTTCCAGAGCAAAAGGATCAGGGAAATGCTGTTCCTACGGCCCCACCTGACAATAATGATGGTGTAGGGGGAGGGGAGCACCATGTTGTATCATGCCCTAGAAGTAAAGAACTCCATTGAGAACATCAGAAGCCCCCTGGACCCAAGAGACAGGGGTACACCAGCTGCTGCTCCATCAAGTTCTTCTGGGGGCTCAAGGAGGGGGTTTGGGTTTGTAATTGTACCACTTACTACCCAGGATATTAGAGGGTTGAAAAAAAAATAAATACCCCCATATTTGGATGATCCCAGAAGGGTAGGGGAAAAGACAGAGGAATATTTGGGAAATGTGGATTGTACATGGACTGGGATTTTCTTTTGGGGATTTTGTCTGGGTCATCACAGAAACGAATGATTTTGCAGAAAGGTCGGCATCTGTGGGAGGATGAACATCAACAAGCAGGGGGAGGGGGCTGGACCCAATGCACCTACGGTGGGTGATGCCATTCCCCAGGTGGACCCCCAGTGGGACCCAAATAACCAGGCCAGTCTGGCTCACTGTGATTACCGTGCTTGTTTGATCAGGGCAATCAACTCTGCGCCTCCCAGAACTAACAACATAGCTAAGGGTATGTCATTAGAACAGGAGAAACAGGAAAGCCCCTCGCATTGGTTGAAGAGGATTAAGGGATGCCTTGACGAAGCAGGGGGGATGGATCCTGAGGGGCCAACTTTTGATACATTGCTGAAGGTACAATTTGTTACTAAGGCCTGGCCTGATATAAGGAAAGGAGTGCAGAAAGATGAAGAGTGGCAGAATAAGCCTCGGGAGGAATTGGTTAGAAAAACACAGCATATATATGTAAGAAGGGATGAGGAAAAGGTAAAGACTAAGGCAAAGATGATGGCAGAGTTTTTGCAACCCCAGAGGAATAAACTGCAGGGTCCAAGGGATCCCCAGGACAGAGGAGACAGGGTTGGCCACAAGGAAGTGGCAGAGGAATTCCCTCCTTGGAGGGGGAGAGCTCACCCAAACAGCATTTGGGGAGGAACCAGTGCACTATCTGCCAGGCAGAAGGGCATTGGAAAAAGAAGTGTCAGCAGAGACAGCTGTATCCTCAGGAGGAGGAAGTCCAGAGGATAATGGAAATGGATTGTTAGGGGTGTCAGGGGCTCCGATTATATCAAGGACCCACCACTCTGGAGCCCTTGATAACTTCTAAGGTGGGTCTGGATCGAGAGGAGGTGTGTTTTCTGGTAGACACAGGGCCTCTTGATCCACCTTAAATTTTACACCTAAGGGAGGGAAGTTGTCAAAAAGATCATTGGTTATTCAAGGAGTGGAAAGCATAAGCTAGTGCATTTTATTCAACCACTGTTAATAGATGCAGGGAACAGGTTTGAAATGTATGAATTTCTGTTTGTTCCTAATTGTGATTGAAATTTACTGGGACGGGATTTGATGGCTGAAGTGGGAATGCAAATTAGTATCGTAAAATATGACACAGAGTCCAACACTGTGATATCTTTGTATAAAATGTCTGAGAAGGCTTATGTTGAAATAAATTCGGAAGTGTGGGCAGCCCCAGGGAAATATGGGAAACTGGACATAGAGCCTCTCCAAATTACTTTGGAGCAACCAGGACAAGTGTCTAAAAAGCAATATCCTCTTTCAAGGGAGGGAAAGAAGGGGTTACAGCCTATTATTGAGTCCCTGCTAAAGGCAGGTCTTTTGGAGCTGTGTATGTCTCCCTATAACACCCCTATCCTGCCAGTTAAGAAACCAGATGGAACCTACAGAATGGTGCAGAATTTAAGAAT